AATATAGGGGTACCAGTAATAATTCCGGAGTTCTCTCTTTTTAGTTGATTTTTGTTTTATGACAATGTCTAATTAAGAAATCAACAACTATATTTGAACATTTCTAATTTTTTATTGAAAAAATGTGAATGTATATAAGAGAAAACGTTGTATTATTTTGGTAATTTTGGCTTGACAATGGTAATATTTTAAACTATACAAAAATCTTGCTGTACCCGGAATCATAACCCAAAGACACTTTTAAAATTGTAAAATTTGAACTTTTTTCCCAAAAAAAATTTTTTGGTAGTTTTGGCTTGACAGTTTTTAAACTACACAAATGTAAAATCCTAACTCAAAGTGACTTTGGGTTTTTATCGTTGATTTGAGAATAAAAAGTGCATTCCGATGATTTTTAGATTTTTGTTTTAGGTTTTATGGTTTCTGAGAAAAACGCTTTTAATTGTTTTTTTCCTAAAAAAATTAAACTCTGTTAATTTTATTTTGATAATGGTAATATTTTAAACTATGCAAATGTAAAATGTTTCGGAGAGTCAACTTTTCAGAAAACTGAAAAATTCTTGATAGTTTAGAAGTTATGAACAATTTATTGATTTTGCCTATTTTTAACGATTAGTTATTTTTTTTTTCTGTAAGAGTGGAATTTTTTTTTTAATGATACTAAAAAAAATGGACTAGCAGTTATAATTCTGGAGTTATTGGCGGTTAACCGCTCCGGTAGCAAAATCAAAAAAAAAATGAGAAAAATTAAAAATTAATTTTACCTAAAATTTAATATCTGATTTTTTTAAAATGACATGGAGAATTTGCTTGTGTGAACTTTTTACCTACAACTAATAATTTTTGAATTATGGATTTTTTTATTGTAAAAATAAAAATGTTTTTGTACCCGGAACCGCAACCCAGAGCAACTTTTAAAAAGTGCATTCTAATGGTTTTTAGATGTTTGCTCTAGGTGTTATACTTTCTGAAAAAAAAGCTGTTAAAAAAATTAAACTATTGCACTTTAAAAAAAAATTGGGAATTTCGGCAAATGGTAATATTTTGTACCATAAGAACGTAAAATGTTCTAAGGAGTCAAATGGTGTCGGGAAAACCGCAAAATTCTTGATAGTTTAGATTTTAGAAGTTATCGACTATTTTTGTTTTTCTTTTGGTTTTCCTCTTTTGTCAAATTTTTTTCACTATTTTACTATTACTCAAAACAAAAATTTGATATACTATTAATGTCAAAGCGACGTGGGTGAGAATTAGTGAAATACATTTGACAAAAGAGAAAAACCAAAAGAAAAACACTGCATTATTGTTGATTTTGCCTCCTTTATCCCAAATTAACGATTTTTTCGAAAACGAGAAAATATATTTTTATAATGAAATGGGAAATTTAAAAGTATAGCGGTGGCAGTAATAATTCTGAAGTTATCGGCGTTTAATCGCTCTGATAGTAGGTAGCCGAAAATTTCGAAAAACATCGAAAAAATTAAAAACATGTATTCAAGACCTTTTTTGATTTTAGTGTTTGAAAAATTGACGAAATAAAAAACAAGTCAAATTATTTATCGTGTTGAAAGGCAATTTTTCGATGAAAAACATCTGTTTCAGCAGGAACGCACAGCTGTGCCAAATCCTGCCTGAAACCTGAAATAAAGGACTCACTCGAATCTGTAGGTTCCATCTCCAGCGTTATCATTGTCGAATCGAAGTATAGCAACAGGTGCACCCCCTGAATAAGTCCTGCCAGATGGTGCGTTATAAAGGGGTCCAGACGCGGGAGGGACGTAAGACGAGCGACTGCTGAAATCCGGAGGAGTTAAAAGCCCTCCACCACTGGCGGTTTTCGCACTAACAGGGGGCAAATACACGTTCTCTAACCGGTCGGCAACCGCCCCCCAAACCACAAACATCAAAGCTAACTGAAAATCACGACTTGTGGATGAGCTAAAACGGCCAAAGACTTACCAGTTTCATGATGTTTCGCTCTTTGAAGCACTGATTCTTGTGATGAACTGCAATAAATTGCGAGCTTTTATACAATATAATAACTGGTGGATCCGATTTCGGGAGCAAGGATTTCGGTTTCAAGGTGATCCTAACAGCGGGCTCATCTTTGTTAGAGGTGTGGAGAACAAGGAAAGGTTCGTTTATCATAAGTGACCTAGAAATGCCGATGATTTGGTTCAATTATTGTGAATGTCATTTGGGTTCTAATCAAGGCGGTTACCGGCTATTCATTAAAATCGGGGGAAATTAAGTAAACATTTGACGGAATTAGATACGATCTGAAACCTTAAATGTCTCAAAGATGAAAAGGTCACTACGAAAAAGGAAGAAAAAATTCAAGTGGGAGGTACTTAAAACAAGTGGAAAATCGAGAGCTACACCTTGACATTATCATCCCAATTTGCTACACATCTTTGCAATTGTGTAACAAACAAACTCATTTTTTATAATTACCGACAGCAAATAAATCGTAATTCTTTATTTTTACTTGTTAATTATTATTGTTGAAAATTTTTCAATACTTTATCTCTCAATATTAAATCTTTCTTTTGCAAATTATTTAAACTGTCAAAACTTTTAGGTACCTACTAGTTTTTCATAGGAATCAAAAATTTTTAATTTTTTGTTCAGAATTGGTTCGTGCTTATGCTTCTGGCCTTATTCTTAAACTTATTACTCAAAATCTCAAACGCGCCTAATTTTACGTCTAGAAAACTATATTTCAAGTGTTTTTACAACTTAAGGTAAATTGACTATTTTTACGATTTTACTAGCGCTCTCCTTCAAAAACTCAAAAAATTCAAAGTTTTTGAAACTTGACCCAATGGCGTTTTATGCACTTATTTGAGTCTTTAAGACCCCTAGGAATGTAAAAAACGTAAAATAGATCAATTTTAAAGATAAAATTTTTTTTGATTTTTGTCGAGATTTTGGTCGATTTTTGGCACCCCGAGCGGTTTAATGGCAATAACTCCGGACTTATTAGAGATAATCTCTTATATTTGGTACCGTTGGATAGAAAATTGAATTTTATATCATATATTAAAAATTTCAGTGCTCTACGATGAATAGTTATCGAGAAAATTTCTGATAAAGTCAAAAATATCGAGAATTTAAATCCGACTATAACTTCAAAACTACTACGAATTTTGCAGTTTAATTGACGCCAAT